AAGAATTTCGATTCCAGCTCGTCCCACGTTGTCTATGTTCGAATGTGACGGAGAATGCCGCGTCAAATGATAAACGCGATAGTGATGAGAATATGGTCCCCTACCCCGCACCCGTCTAGCCCCGTCCTTTACCATTTCAAATAGAAAATCTTTCATACGAGTATATTTAAATGTGTCGAAGTAAATCGACCTTTTATTTCTAAATTGAAAAAGGGAATTCAAAAGGTCTGTTCAACCAGCACCATGACAAGTTTAGAAATTGGAATACTCGGTCTTGAAATTAGGTTCTTAAAGTTGAATGGTGGGTAGTTTCAAGGAAGGATAATGTCATGAATGGATAATCTCGTTTGACATAATTTTTGAAAAGTCAAAAAAAACTTTAAAACCAAAAAGCAATTTTTGGACATATTTGATAAATTTTAAGAAATTGCTTTTAGAGGAAGCTGATTTAATATGACTTACTCTAAAAGCACTTCTAGAATAGAAAATTTTTTTAAAAATTAATTTAAGTAGTTTTGTCCAAAAAAAATTCTACATGAAGCATAAACAAAAGTTAGTCATGTCAACCGAACTCTTATTCTAAATGATCTAGTTATTTCTTGAAAATAGTGAAATTTATTTTCACGATGCTTTTTCACTATTGTTTTATATTCTCTATTTAAATATATTGTTTTTATCGATCAAGTTAAATTACATATCAAAAGTATATATTATTTTAAGAATATCCATGCTAAATTAAGATAAGGAATTACAATTGGGAGAGACTTTTATGAGAAAAATGATATTTTTTTGGAAAATGTGTAGTTAAAAAGTTGGAAAAAATTATGAGAAAACGTGAAAATGATTTATTTATTTTTAAATAATGTATGATTGAAAATGAGTTTGTAAAAATGATTTCTCTCACCAAAACAAGGTGTAAAGTCAAGTATTTACTTTCACACGGTTATATAATATTGTTAAATAATATGAAATTGTTTTCATAACTGCGCCGGAGATGTTTAATATAGTATTATTGTTAAAGAAAATGGTGGTGAAATTAATTAAGTGCGTGAAAATTGAAATAAAATATGGGCAACCACACTATCGTCACAATCATAGCCACTGTCGACTTCTATCACTAGCACACATTCCCCCATCGATCCACCACCCAATGTGTCATGTTCATCACGTTAAATAAAGATGAATATATACAACCCAACTAAATTATCTGAAGAAACTAAAAGAGGAGCATGATCGAAGCATCAAAATTGAAGAATGATAATTGAAACGAGGAAAGTTAGATACTTATAGTTGCTTTGAGATTGGGCCATGAGTGATGGGTAGTGATCTCGGGACTTAGAATTCGTCCCGAGCGAACGATTTGCAGTTACATTGAACTTAACATTCATCTAATGCAAATATTATTATTTCTAGTGAAAATGGCGATAGGGACGGTGAATGAGTGTATCACAATGTGTTATAGGTTTTAAAAAAGTGTAAAAATGTATGCTACAAATGTAACACAATACTTCCATAATGAAAAAATAATCACAGTATTTTCTAATAATTTGTTTTTAGTGTATGTATGTAAAATTCCCTTAGTAATATTGAAGGAATTTAGACTGAAAAATGAGTCCAAACTTAACTAAACTGACCATTATATAAAGTGGAAATTACACTCAGATATGATTTTTAACTTCTCAATTGAAAAATTAGGTTTAAAAGTTTTTGTTCAAAATTCAGGTGATAATTTAATTTTTAATACTAAGAATAATATATTAAAATTAAATTAATCCACATTCCCTTGTCCCACCCCATCCGATTTCACTCCAAAATCCTAAATCTGCTCTCTCTGACTCTCTCTCATTCTCAGAGGCACACGCGCGCGCGCACAAAAAAGCAGCAAGCCTTCTATCTCGAACAACGACGACGATGGTTTTGGGGTTGGTTGGATCTGATCCAATTAGCTGTTTAGTCGGAGTTGTGGGATGATTTTTGTTTGTGGTTGTTGGCGTTTTGCAAATGATGGTGATGGTGCAAGTGGTGATGGTATTGGCGATGATGGTGAGGTGGTGGATTTGGTGATGGTGGTGCTAGCCACAAATGGTGTTGGTTGTGATGTTGGCGGTAGTGGCATTAACTGTTGTGGCACAACGCTTGGGTAGTGCATGTGGTGGATTGGGGGCTAGGGTTGGGGTGGGATAAATAGTGTTTGTAATCAATTATTTATGTGATTGTGATAAATGAATTGGTTAATTTGTGACCAATATATAATATGTGATCAAAAAAATATGATCATGACTCAAAATTTACTAAATTGTAATTGAGAAATAATTTGTGACCCTTAAATATGTTGTAACTTATAAAATTTATAGTTTGTGAGCGATAAATAAATCGTAACCTATGAACATTTTTATTTTGCGACCGATGAATAAATTGTGGATTATTTAAAAAATTAATTTGTGATCGAGAAATAAATTGTGATTTATAAATTTTGTGATTGACGGATAAAAAATTTGCGACCTATAAATTTTTTTAATTGAGATCTAGAAAAAATTATAATCAATTAATTTGAGAATTTGTAACCAAACTATATGAAATTGTGACCTTAAATTATTTAATTAATAAAACTGTATTTTTAATTAATTATTTCATAAATAAATATTTGATTTTTGAAATTTTAAACATTTTATTTTAGTTTTGAAATGAGTGATAGTTAAACTGATACTTATGAATTTTTTCCTAAAAAAATTAGAAAATCAGGTGATAAATCATTAATCTCTCTCTCTCTCTCTCTCTCTCTCTCTCTCTCAATATATAATAGAGAAATTTTAGTAAATTTTCCAAAACTAAACATATACAAAATAAATCTGCAGAAGTGATAGTTAATTTTATTTTTTTAAAAAAAATTGCCACAGATTTTCATTTCTTTATTGAATAAAGTAAATCTGGACATCATCCAATAATAAAAAATTTTATTCCATAGAAGAGAAGACAACTAAAATTAATATATAACTCGTATGAATCAGTATTAGATAGTAGGATATCATAAAAAACCACCAAAATTCAGCACTTAATAAATATTATTACAATTACAAAATCTATTCAATTTCGTTACCAACGGCATATCGGTTGTTTTGGCTTTCACCATTGAAGCATGAAATCATGATACAAGGTGGCAATTCCATCAATATCTTGTGGTTTTTCATCACAGATTTTGCAGCACCTCTCTCTTTCCTTAATTTTTTTTTTTCGATGTTTGGGGGAGTCGAGATCTGCTGTCTATCTAATTAATTATTGATATGTAACTTTAAATTATCATGTCATCAATTTGGTTGATTAGTTGTGAAGTTAATTATGGTAAATTTGAAATGACATGCTAACTTAAAAATGATTTGTCAATAATTAATTGGGTAGATAACAAATTGGACAGTAAAAGTTAGATGGTAAATCTCAATTCATGTTTGAAATGTCGTGTGTTTGATGCACATTTTTTTTATGGAGAGAATGCATTTTTTATGATGTGATGGGGAATTTGTGGTTGTGACATTAATATATTTAATTAGTAAAATTTTTAAACTATCAATAAAATTTAATTATTATCTGATTTTTAAAATTTTAAAACTTCAAAGTTCATACACATGCATTTTTCCCTTATATGAATCGGACCAAGAGTCAAAAGGCCCTGAGAAAAGGCGAACCCATGTCGATCGTATTCTCACATGACTGTACACCCCCAGCGCACGATAGCATAGACCTCTATTGTTTCTGGGTCGCTTGCTCTCTACGCGCTTTATCTTTCTCTCGAGATTTCACTGGCCATATCCTCCCCTCCTTCATTACCCATCAATCGCCGATGCTCAATAGCTTTTTTCTCACGCTTTGGTTCCCTGAATTCGACTCGATTTTCATCGATTCCAATAACGAATAAGGTAATTTACATCGATTTTTTTTCATTCTTTATGCGATTTAATTGTTTTCTGGTTGATATGCATGTCAATTATGCTATCTGTTAAGGGTTTTTTGAATGATTGAGTTTCGATAATATGATATTTTGCGATTTGGTGGGATTTTCATAATCGATTTAGGTATTTTACATGGATTTTGTTCAATTTTAATGCGATCCCAATGTTTTGGGGTTGATATGCTTTTCTATTTTGCGGCCTGGTAAGATTTTCTTTTTCTTTTTCTTTTCAAGAATTGTTTTTATGACTAGTGGGATAGGGATGGTTAGCATTTTCTCATTCGCTCGATCAATTGAGTTTCGATTTTTTATGTAATTTTTCGTTGATTCATCTGATGTCAATCTCTTGTGTGATTATTGTTGAGGATCTAATTAAAGATTGTTTTTTAAACACGGGTGAAGACTAATTGGGATTTTTAGAAATGTGACTAATTGGGATTTTTAGAAATGTTTATATCAAATTCTTTAGGTTATCTCTGCTTTCAAAATTCTTTAGGTTATTTCTGATGATTTTTTCCATTCTCTGAAGATCAGAAGGTTAGGTTTAAGGCATTAAAGATTTTTATTAATTTTAGTTTGTTTTATCATTTTACTGAACTGGGCTCATGAGAGTTATTATCTGTTTGTTTCAATTAGTTCGTGAGCCTGATCTTTTATATTTTTGTTATTAGGTGAAGATCCTCTACTTGTCTGTATTAATTTCTGAAGAAACGATAAATAGGAGAAAAATGATAGTTTAATGGGTTAAATATCATAATTTGAATGATCATGTGATGTTGTCTTACTTTCACAATTACTATTTATGACTCAGCATTTATTCTATTAGGGTGAGGATTTTTTATAATGATTTTTGTTGACTTCTATACGTGTATGTCTCTGGCTTTCTGGTGCACATGTGCTGATAAAAATCTGAGTTTCATGATTTTTTTGAACACAATTTTCTTGTTTATATTTTTATATAATATCTTTTTCCTTTTGTGACCAGTCTGATTTTCTTGGTTCTCAAGGAGCAAAGATCCAAGTAGTCTCCTTTGGTCCCTGGTAATTCAGTATCGCAATGGTGGGATATGATAGAGATGTATGCAAATACTGCACCACCAATCTTTTGCTTTGAAGGTTTCTTATACATAGTGCATTTATTGATCACTATTCTGCTACTGCAGGAATATGAAGATTTGGATGAGTATGAGGATGGTGAGGAGTACGAGGAAGAGGGCTACGAAGAGGAGGAAACCCACCAGCCCACACAGGAGGCATTGGAATATCTTGAACTGAGGCAACGGTTAAAAGAGACATATAGAAAGAAGATGAAGAAGCAATTAGGGACAGCTAATCCCAGTCCCCGTGACAAAACTAATGCAGTGTGCAAGGACAAGTGAGTTTCATTTGCTCGTAGTAAATTTCGGAGACTCTTTGTCCATGGGAGTTTGTTCTTGATACAAAACCACTGGATCATTGAAGCAATTTTTTTTCTTGAGTTTCACTAGATGTCTTGTTACAGATTTTTCCTGTTCCATTTAATTAAAAAACAGTCTGTAATATGTGCTATCTGTGATATTCGTGACTTGTCTATGATTTTAATATGATAAATTTGAGTTTGATGTGCTAATACTCTTATACTCCCAAAGTAATAGGTATTGCTAGTGTAAATTTGATAAGCTGTTGTCCCTCTAGCATTTACAGCTGTTTTGACTTGTTTATGATTTTATGAAACTCATGGTTTTTATAACAAATGCCATTGTCTTTGAACAGTTCTGCAATTTGGGCCTATATTGTATTTTGGTTCAATTTGAAGGCTGCTCTTGACGTATTATATATATATATATGTCTATGCTCTATATGTAGTCATTGCTCAACATTATTCAGTTTACTATTGATTTTGACTATGATGTTTTGCAGCTTTGGTTCGTTCTTTGGGCCTTCGCAGCCAGTTATTGCTTCGAGAGTGATTCAAGAAAGCAAGTCCTTGTTGGAGAACCCAAATTTGGCAGCAAGGATTTCTAAATCCAACCATTCCATGCAGGCCAATAAGAGCTCTGCTTCAGCCACCGCGGGGTTAAAACCTCAATCTGACCATCTGCCAAGAGCTACCAATGGGGTAATTACTGTAGTCATTGCTTATTTTTGGGGTGCTTTAAATCTTTTCTATTTTCTGGATCAAGTGTCCAGTAGCTAATGTGACCTGCTGCTTCTTTTCCACGAGAAACAGATTTTTTCTTCTTGCCTCTCAATAATGTATTTTTATTTGTTATTGTGCAGGTAAAAACAAAAGTTGAAATGCTTAAAAATACAAGGGACTATTCTTTTTTGTTATCTGATGATGCTGAGGTTCCGGCTCCCACCAAAAATCCTCCACCAAGAAATGTATCTGCCCCGAATTCAGGTTCGTATCTGCTCCATTATGATATCTGGATATTTGATGCAAAAGCCCAAGGCATATTATTTTTCTTAAGAAAACTTATACAGGTTTTTTGATGCTCTTGAAGAGGAGCGATCAGCTCAAGCACCACCTAGGAGCAAACAGCCAGCGAAAGATAGTGGCAGAAAAGCCTTCACTGGTCATCCAGAGAGGAAACCGATGTCTGCAAGTGTCCAACTGAGACCTAAAGTTGGATCTGAGAAATTGGCTCCATCCAGTAAGTTGTCGATGGGATCCAAGCAAAAGCTTGGTATCAATAATGGAAGTGGGCCTGGTCGGCCAGTGCGGGTGAATGATATACCATCTAGGAATCCAGCAGCCACCACGGGGAAGAAGGTTACAGCACCACTTGCAAAGAGTTCAATGCCTTGTGAGCGTAAACCAACCCCTTCACACTTGCAACCTAAGGTGCATAAGCCACCGCCTTCACATTTGCAATCTTTTGTTCAAAAGAAACCATTGATACAAAGGAAGGAGTCTCAAGAAACTATCAAGGCAAAGGTCATACCGAAACAGCCTTTGTCATCCTCTAGACCTCAGGTATGGCCAACTTTTAATTGAGTGAGCAATTGTTGATACGTGATCATAAAATTTGCTATGTTTTCTGATAGAAAGCTGTACAATATAACCTCGTTTTCTCTTACAATTTTGGCAGATGAAGCCACTACCACCCAAATCGTCAGCTCGTGGTACTTTGGCTGATGAACGCCCAAAGAGAAAACCTATGAATGATGATGTGGAAGCTATAAGTATGATCAGAGAAATGTTCAGGTAATTATGAAAGCATTTTCTCTTGCAAATTCTTTTCGATTTCCCTGGTATTCTTCATTAACGACTGAAGCATATTCAGTACTGCTATTTGTTCCAATTTATAGGGTTTGTGTTTGAGCAATGTCAGACCTTTTTCAGGTATAATCCTAACAAGTATCGAGACGACGATGATGACAGTGACATGGAGGCCAATTTTAATGATATCTTGGCGGAGGAGAGACGCAGGTTAGTAAGAAATATTATTATTGATATTGCATGCCTTTAACTTTGGTTTGTATACTTGCTTCTTGTTTTATTAGTCCCTGAAAGTTTCTTTTCTGTCTGGTTACTCTTTTGGCTCGTCTCTTGTATTTGGCTAATTATACTTGGTATTGCCACCTGTCAGGGAAATTTTGGCCTGTCATAATTATATAATATTATTTCTATTATACTTATTTTTATTCTCTTTTCTTTTTTCATCACATCCAAATTACCATTATTTCATTATATATCTGAAGACCTAAACATTCACTGAGAACAGCATTCTTCTCTGAAAACTTAATTTCTAGTTGGCAACGTGGGCTGCGTAGAAGCTGCTTGCTGTTTGGCATTTCGATGATCCATTCTTTTATGACAAATTTCGCACCGACAAGATTCCTTAGATTTGAAACAATTAGTAACTTTTGAGTTAATATTTTAATAGGTTATGTTACTATTGAATTTTATTTTGATAGCAGTAGCTAACATGTGAAAAATTGCCCGCATTCTGTTTTGTTGTTAAAGCTCGTCTCATTGCATTCACGTGTTACATTTCTTGTTATTCAGTGCAAAAATTGCGATTGAAGAGGACAGAGAACAACTACGCTTGATTGAAGAAGAAGAAAGGAGAGAGCGGATGCGATTGGCAAAGAGGCAAAAGCGATGATAGAAAGAAATTTTGCAATATTAACAGATATTGGCTGTCGAATTAGCTCAACAATTGCTAGAAGTTGAGCAAAAAATGTGGGGGGTCTCACCTTGATATTACTAGAGGTTGATTCCATATGTTAATGGATGAGAAATTATTAGTATCTTCCAGCTTTAGATATGCATATAATTGATTGTTTTTTGTGCCCTTCATTTTGTTTGGGGGGTGAAAATGTATAATTTCTCCAGTTCTCTTTATTTGGAAGCTTTTAAAGCAATATTTGGTAATGAAAGTCTAGAAAATGGTTTGAAATAGGGTCTTTTAATGACGAGACTTTCTGGGTTTAATTTAAAAGATAAAAGTATACATTCTTTTCATCTTTCTCAAATATTAACAGCTATTATTTTTGCAAACTGATCGCAAGTTAAAAGATGGAAAACTAGGTAGCAGAAGCAAAACATTTTATTTCTGGGTATAATACCCTTTCATAAGGGTATGACCAGTGTATTCAGTTTCTCATGTGGTGTTGCATCATGAAGTGTTTTAATGGCATATAAATTGAAAATATAGCCGTTATTGGGTCCCATTCGTCTAATAAAAGTCAACTTTAACGGTTATATTTTCAATTTTAATCTGATTTTAATCCCTCCCAAACAAACTCTGAAGTTTTTTGGTTTTGCTGGTTTGAAATTGAGATTTAGATCTTATTGAAGAAGATCAGGACAATTGTTCAAACGTTTGTGTGAAAATCAACCCTTAATTTGAAACTTTTTGTGGAATACAACTCTACGCTTTATTGATTGGATTTTGCTGCTTGTACATAAAAAAAAAAAAAAAATACATAATGGATAATGTAATATGATGTGGAGGATAAATATTGAATGAAAAAATTGGTCGTGCTTTAAACTGGTAAATAGTAGAGTAGCATGTGACATTATGTAATTCATTATTTAAATTTTAATGTACATGTAGCAAATTTCAGCTTGCTTTATGTAATACAACCTTAACATTTATAAACTTAACGCAAATTAACATAGCAATCCAAACCATCACAAGAAACAGCAACAACAACGAAAGCAATACAACCAACCAAACCAGAAAGCAGAAGCAATAAAGAATACACAAAATTTTCAACTAGCAAGGTATTTTACAAACCCACATCAAATGATTTGTCCAAAAATTGAACATTGAGTGAATATCCAACTTAACAATATGCGTAATCTTCAGTAGAACAGAGTGCAGAGACGTCTTATGTGTTCTCCAACGTGAAAATATAATCAAGATTATTGGGATTTTTCTATTGATGATGCCTGTTCCTTTCCCATGTATCACATGCCATTTAGAAGGTAATTCATAGAGATGCTCTAAGCCTCGTCGTGTGTTTATTATCTAGGTTGAATATTTCAATTATCAACTTAATTTTCTGAACTAGTTTCGGTTGCCATTGAATATAAAATGTTCTTAGTTGCTATTGAACTTTAAATTTTTTTCGAGTAACAATTAAAATTTCTCAAAATATTTTTCAATTTCCATTGAAGATTAAAAGTTTTTTGAGTTGCCACCAAGCATAACAAAATCTTATTTATTTAGTCATTCGCTGTCTTAAAAATTAGCAGATTTGATGACATGATATACAAAATTTCCACACGTGACGTGATTTAGATGTTAGTGTATTCCACTTCATCAAAATTGCGACAATATACATTTTCGAAAAGAGAGTGATGAATGAAAAAGCATTTTGGTAAGTTCAATAGCAATTTGAAATTTTTTCAAATGATAACTACTAAACATTTAAAAGAGTTTATGACAACTAAAATATTTAACACTAAGGCCATCTTTGATAGTCATTATTTTGCCTAGAACTAGAAAAAGTTTTTCATTTTTCATGCAAAGTGTGTGTTTGATGGGACAAATTTAGCCAAGAAAACAATTTTCCCCCATCCCCCACGCGCCTTCTTTCCTCAATATTGATGAAAATGCTTTCCCGAAACCTTACATGATCCAAAGCTTCAACCTTCCATCACCGAAGAGAGAGATCTGCTAAGAAGATGGCCTCAAGCAAAGAAGTCGACCTCTACATGGACAAATATATATATATCGACTCGTGACCAAACAACATATATATTGGAATAATATATATATTTAACAAGAAATCCTTAAACCCCTCGACAAAACCCCTAATCCACCGGAATTGAATTGGAATTGCAGAGAACAATGGCATCAACACTAGACCCAACAGAATCCTTCAAACCCTACAAGCTCAAGCACACTCTCCCAGCCCACAAACATGCTATTTCCAGCGTGAAGTTCTCGGACGATGGTCGCTTCCTTGCCTCGTCCTCCGCCGACAAGACAGCCCGTATTTACTCCATCTCCGGTTCCTCCGCCATCGTCCAACACGAATTAGAAGGCCACGAACAGGGAATTTCCGACCTTGCTTTCTCGTCCGATTCCCGCTATCTCGTCACTGCTGCTGATGACCGGACTATTCGCCTCTGGGATGTCTCGACCGGTGCCCATATCAAGACTCTCGTCGGACATGCTAATCACGTGTTCTGTGTGAATTTTAATCCACAATCGAATATGCTTGCTTCGGGTTCGTATGATGAGACTGTTCGCATTTGGGATATTAAGTCTGGGAAGTGTATAAAGGTGCTTCCTGCCCACTCCGACCCGGTGACTGCTGTTAATTTTAATCGGGATGGGACGCTGATTGTTTCGAGTAGCTATGATGGGCTTTGTAGAATTTGGGATGCTTCAACTGGACATTGTATGAAGACTTTGGTTGATGACGAGCATCCACCAGTTAGTTTCGTGAAGTTCTCTCCCAACGGAAAGTTTATTCTCGTCGGGACTTTGGATAATACTTTGGTAAATACTTCTTCTTTACGTTTCCTTATTCTGAAGATTATTTTTTTATCGAAGTGATTGGACTTCTGTATATTTCTTATTCTATTATTGCTTACTTGAAGATGTCTTGTTTGAAATTTTCGAATTAAAAGGCTTTGGAAATTTTAGTTTGAGGTTAATTGGGCTAATGTTATTTGGGAAGAACTCAATATTTCTTGACAATGGGGTTGCTATTTGATGTTGTAGATATATTGTAGATTGCAAGAAATGTGTTAATTTTGCTTCCGCTAGGAATATGTTGTCTTGTTCATTGTTAATGTTTAGCTGTATTGGGATCTCAGTGTTATCGAGTGGCAATTATTTTCAGTCTTAAGAGTTGCAAGAAGTATCCTTTGGTACTTACCTGGACGGGGTCAATGGGCATTCAAGAATGCCCATGGCCTAGGTTGGTATCCTTCATTTCACATGGAAGGGGTGCCTGCTTAAAGTTGGCCCAAGTGTTTGAGCCTACGTCATAACTTGTGCTAGCGGTGGTCTGCTTTCGCGTGAAAATCCTTCGGTCACATTTATTATGTGTCAACTATTGGTTAGATTTTAACTGGAAACTTGTATTTATTTAGTTCCATATAGCCTTAGCCACTGATTCTGAATAGAATGTTGGTTTTATCCAAAAGTCTTCACCTAATAACAAATAATAACTGACAATTTTGTTTGGTCCTTACTGAATTAAGTGGTGTGACCAGAATGGATCAGTTTTACTGGTTAGAGGCAAATCAAAGGTTTGTGTTTTTGTAATATCAGTTCATATTATTGTTATTTAGATTCTGGGTTTGCTTGATCCAAAAATTTCCCATCATTATAGGAACTTATTGTTTGGTATTTTTTCCCGCTGCTTTACTTGGTTTCTTACTTTGAAGAATGTTGTGGTTCTAAGGACGGTATCATTGCTCATAATGACAAATTAAATGAAGTTACTTTTGTGATATGGTTTTTGTTTATAACTTGTCTTGCATCAGATAATGTTTAATTTTCTCTATCATTGATATTGAAAATTATAAATTTGCGACAGGGTTCTCTCTTTTTTCTTCGGTATACTGTCTACTTCCCACATTAGTTCTTTTGAGTTATTCCTATAGTAGTTAACTATTATTGAGGAATCATGGTATCAAATGATAATCATGTTACATATTGGGGGTCTATATTGGTTATGATTTCGTGATGCTTGCTTACGCTAGTATTGGAAGAGATATAACTTGACATAACAAAGGACCCCTAAACATTTGGGCTACGCTTGGCACATTGAATTAGGCCGTACAAAGAATTTAGTATAAAATGATAATGTATATATTATTAGATAGATGGTATTATAGAAGATTAAGGTGGATAGTATCCATTGATTTTTCATTCAAAAGAATATCATTACTATATCTTCCTTGTTCTGCCTAAACCACCTCCAACTTGCGTATTATGTTATACGGTTGATCTTTTGAATGAACATTATCCACCTTAATCCACCATAATACAATCTACTTATTACTATCCATTATAATCTTATACTAAATTTGTATTTTTAAACAATTATTATGATCATTCTCGATTGAGTTTGAGTTTTAATTCATGACCTCAGATTCTACATCTGGAAATGAGTCATAATTTGACTTTTGGCTCTAAAAATTCCCAATACCTGCAAATGAGACAAACCAGCAACTTAGATGTCAAGATCATATGAATTGGAATTCATGCATGTTACTTCATATATTCTGCTGTCATATAATAAAATACATGGTATCCATAGTCTTTAGATTTTGTAATAGAAATTTTCTTTTCTGTTTGCTTTCCTTATGTCTAAGGGGCTTTTATGTTGTTCCACCAGCTTCGGTAACATATCAAGTTTTATACTCCATGCCATAAAAATGTAATTGCTGCAACCACTTGCATATTTTGGATGATGTTAGATTGGGCAAAGACGTGATCTTGGGCTTAGTTACACCCATAATTTCACTTTGTAACCTAAAGTGTCTCAACAATTTCAACTAATCACTTGGGGCTCCATGAGACAATTCCATGAAATATGGAGAGGGGCCAAATTTGGTTTTGGTTCAGAAATGGCTTGGCTGGCTTATTCAATTTTAAGTTTCCCCTTTTCCAATTATCTTTGTAATTTCTTAAAAAAAAATAATTACATATTACTGTCAACGATGAGGTCATCAGTTGGTTGTAATCCATTGAATTGGTAAGAACACTGAGCATGCATTTGACCACTTTAACTAGAAGTACTTTTTCGGTATTTAAATCTTATATGCAGAGTATATTTGGAATAAAATATAGCAACTCTCTATTTATTTACAATTATTGACTGTTTTGTGATGATCTCTTGATATGGCTAATTGATGAAGTGAAAATACGTAGTGGTTTTGTCTTAGCAAAGGAAAATAATGGTGCATGCAGTTAGGTAGATGTGCATAACATCTTTGATTCTAGTGACTGCAGAAAATACTTTTGTCCTTCTGGTTATAGCCTTAAAGATTCCGCATTGAGGAAATTTATGAATTTAAATTATAATAATCATCACAAAGGTTCACAGTTTTGAGGTTTTTAAATCTAGTCAAACACCATTTTGCCATGACACGAGTGCGAAGCAAATGGATGCATGCCTCGTGTCTGGCTCTTCATTTCTATTTTGGGGTTATATTGTGGACAACAGTCACAATGTTAGGGATTGACCTCCCTAATGGCTAACGGCTGTTTAGGACTAGGGACTGGATTAGATATAGACAAAAAAACAGTGAAATTAAAAACCGCCATCTGCTCGATAGAGGGCTTCAAAACCTTTTTATTTATAATTAAGACATTGCTTCTATTATGGATTTATCTAAAGTCATCTGCTAGAGAGAGGGGTGACACGATGATTAGAATGTAGCTTCATGCTAGGAAAATGTTGTTACTAGGTGAAACTTGAAAGCTATTCTTTTTCTTTGCAATCTTGGTAGTTACCGTTCTGCAACTCAATTCTTGAATACTTGTTTTGCAGCGACTCTGGAACTACTCTACAGGCAAATTTCTGAAAACCTACACAGGCCATGTCAACTCTAAGTACTGCATATCTTCAGCATTTTCTATAACAAATGGCAAGTATATTGTAAGTGGGTCTGAGGATAACAATGTCTACTTGTGGGAGCTTCAGTCGCGGAAAATAGTTCAAAAGCTGGAAGGTCACACAGACACTGTTATATCAGTATCATGTCACCCAACTGAGAATATGATTGCATCTGGTTCTCTTGGAAATGACAAGACCGTGAAGATTTGGATGCAGGATGACTGATTTTCGCAACGACGTGGCTCTCTGGAGGCCAAAATGGAAACCTTTTTTTTTTTTTTAAATGTCCTCGTCAATATTGGTCTAGGCAATTGCATTGTGAATTCATCCCTTCTGTTACCCTCTTCCTAATTTAACATTATTCAGGACATTGCTGCTTTAGATTAATATTATTCTGTCAGTTTTGTAATGTAATTATTGTGGTGGATTCAGTTGGGGCGTGATATTTATCTATTAGGAAAAAGCTACTGGTACATCAGCTGATACATCAAGGTATCCATAATGCTGACGTGATGAGAATTTGATGATATTTTGACTGAAATTTTGAATTGTTGCAAAATTTATAACACACACCCCTAACCTTTTTCAGTCATCACGCGTTTCCGCCATTTAACCCCCAAATCAATTACCCCCAATTCAACCCTTTCATTCCCAAACCCGAAATCCGTTCCCGGCGCCATCGCCCACTCTCTACCACCACGAAGGAAATACTCCGACGGTCGCATCATCTCCACCACCCCGAAGGAAGCCAACATTATCCGCAGGTGGAGGAGTTTTGAGGAACGCAAATGGGGATGTCGTCTTCGCATTCCACGAATTTTACGATGAGAGTTGTTCGAAAATTCTGGAGGCGGAACTTCGCGCGCTCTTAACAGGTCTCAAACTTTGCTTTGAAAATGGTTATCTGTTCAAGTTCAACATATGGGCAGAGAAGGAAATAGTGCGGCAGCTCACATGGCTTCACAAGGTTTCTACACTAAAGATTACAAAGTTTTGGGACCTAGAGAACTTGACAAACTCGTTCTTGCAATTGTCATTCGTGAACGTTCCAACTTTTTATATGTTAGGCTCTGAAATCTTCTGATTCTTTTGTAACTAGTCTCAGAATGTACAACCGTCTTCTTGTTTGTAATTTGTATCATAGATGTTCATTTAATGAAATGTTTTTGTTTCACAAGAATTTCATGTTGTGTATCACTTTTATTATTGCATTATGTGGATTACTCCTTTCTATTTATCGATATTCTATCGAATTGGAGGATGCTAAGGAAACACCAAAAGAAATGACTTCCAATTTCACTTGTGCGATGTTTGAGACTCCAAAGGTTGTGCTTAGAGGTGCTAGACACATGGTATGTTGATAAATCTGTGATATTTGCCATAATTTGGGTGATTCTTTGAGAATAATTTTTAAATTCACCTACCAGGCTGCTGTTGAGATTAGCTGCGAACCATGTGTACGCAAACATGTATGTAGTATATGATGGAAATGCTGTTGTATCAACAAGCCCTACACCTGATGGAAATGTTGCTATCGATTCTTTCCACCAGTTTGAGGATGCACGGTGGCTTCTAATTCAAAAGGCTGAAGAGGAGAAGCTCCTGACAGTTACCATTAATTTACCGGAAACAATCCTTGATAAGTTAATAAGTGACTCTTAACGATTATTATCTGAGTGATGGTGTGAGTAAATCTGCTCAACTGTGGAATGAGCCGAGGAAACTGATCCTTCAAGATGCATTTTCTAATTTTCTTCTATCTTCAATGGAGAAGGAAGCAAGATCCTTGTTGACTAGTAGAGCAAAAAACTAATTGCTCTAGGATTATAGAAAGCTTTTCTGGATGGAAATTGATGAAACCAGCAAGAATTGTAAACCAGCAAATAGAACAATAAAACAGTAAAAAGATTAAACCAGCAGCATCTATAATGATAAACCAACAAAAGGAATAATAAACCAGCAGAAATATTAAACCAGCACAAAGTTAAACCAGCAGAAGGTAAACCAACAGAAAGTTAAACGAGTAAGAAGAATAAACAAGCACAAGGAATAAACATTTACTTTATTTATCAAACATTTTCTACACATTTACAACTCTATCTGACTTAGAGGTTAAACATAATTCCATCACTGGCACTTCAACAGTTATATTACAAAATCAAAAGATCTCCCAAAAATTTGCCACTGGCACTTCATCAGCATCAACAGTTGTCTTCCAAAAAAGCTGATGGTTCAATGCAAATTTGTTATAGCTTCCATGCTGTCTTGTGTCCCAAATGCTTGAGGTGGTGGAGGAGATGATATGCTCGTCACTTGAGACATTGGCAAGTTGTTTGAGACATTGTCTTTGGACAAAGTAGGCCTATTGGAAGATGTCGAGTTCAACGTCACCTACAAGAGTCAACACGAACATTAACATTGTAACATGTGAATAACGTATTATGTGATAACTAAATTATGAATTGAACAACAAACTTTATTAACCACAATAACACGTACTTATATTAACCATCTCATTTAAAAGTTTAAGCTGTTAGAAAGGGTCTCATATATCAATTTAAATCTTGCATTCAACAAGCCCCTATCATGACCAGACCAAAAACAAGATCCAATAAGCCATTCTATCCATCTAAAAAGCTCATACAAGCTGTGAGATTTCAAGATTAATGTTTCAAAATACCCACCGTGAATATGTTGGGGGTAAAACTCCACATAGCTTAAACAAGAAAAATATAATCAACTAGTAAGGGCTTGGGCTAAGAACCCCAAGACTTAGAGCATGTTTTGGAGTGCTTCAAAGCTCCTCATAAGCACTCCCAAACATTTACTTGATAACCTAAGCACTCAATTCATGTTTATATGCATCTACCTATTGACAAGACGACATCAAGAACACCACTACAGCATTTTTCTTTATTCAGTTTCTCAGTTAAACCACTATTTTCACATCCGTCATGAATTGCTCAAGTGTACGTCTTAACCTAATTACCAGTACTTCACGAAACTGGCACCAGAACTTTCAATGTGCATATAGGCAGGAAAAAAATAAAAAATTTCGCATAAAAAGAGAACATAATTATTTCACCATTGTTGCCGTCCTCGCCGTCGACTTCATCGCCGTCCATACCGGAAAGTCTCCACAAAATGCACTGCTACTGGAAGAAACGGGGAAAACGAGTGCTGGAAAGGGGGAAACGAGTGCTACTCGAAGAAACCGCCACCACTGGAAGAAACTAGCTACCGGAAAGCATCGACAGAAGAAACTAGCTACACCATTGAGAGTTGTTTGAGAGCTTCCAGTCGTCTTTAAAGAATAAACATGGCAGACCATGAAATTTGAAGAATGGGGGGGAATTGTGCCCAAAACGAGGGTTTTAATTTGGGGTCGTTTTTGGCCTTTTTTTTTTTAAAATTAAACGAGATTTTGATCCAAATTCTCGCCACGTCAGCATTATGGATACTTTGATGTATCCGCTCTGATGTACCAGTAGCTTTTTCCTATCTGTTAAAGGGTTACTAGGGAATTTTGTGCAAAGGTAAATTAGCTATACAAGTTGTGTAGTAAGCATATGAACTGATGCGATGTTTTTTGGTCGTTTTCACCCAGATTGAGAAAGGCAAAAATCTCTTTCATGGTTTACATCAAGGTAGATAAAAGAGCATCTCTTTATGATATTTTCCTTGTTAAATGCATGTTTGGCTAAGCTTAAAAAAGTCAACTTACGTGTAATAAGTTTATTTTGCTAGTAAAATATCCGAGTTAAAAGGGAAAATTGCGGCCGCGGTCCCAAACCTTTCATTTTGTTGCAGATTACACCCAAACCTTTAATTTTTGCAGCCGAAGTCCCAAACCTTTATATGTAATAGCAGCGTCGGTCCCAAACATTTACTTGTTGCGGTAGAAGTCCCAAAT